AGTGGTTATGAAGCTGTGCAATGCTCACGTGCGCCAAGCATTTCACGGCGTGAAGCCATTGGGCCTCTTGAGGTTGTGTTTCTTTCCACAGCCCACACAGCCACCTCTCCAAAACTGGCCCAAAGCCCAGGAACCTTGTCATGGATGAGTGAGTTTGATGTCGTCCCCATGTCTAATTCCCAGGACAAACCTGTTTCTTTTAATTTGTATTTACATACATGTAGCAAAGTATATGCAAATCTAAAATTTACAGCTTGGTAAATAAACATACATACCTGTATAACCACCATGGGATCAAGATGCCAACCCCTCCAGAGCCCCACATGTCGACAGAAGGCAACACTCTCTCAGAACCAACCCCAGAGCTCAGCCCCCGCGGTGTGGGGCAGTGGCAGGCAGTGCCCAGAGTGCACCGCCAGTCGCCCTGAGCTTGGGTTCTCCGGCTGTGAGCAAAGATGGTGTGTCTGATGTCACGTCACTGTGTGACTCCCATGACGGTCAGGGCCGCATGCCCTGCACTACAGTGAGGAAACCTCGTTGGGGGCAAGACCCCAGCCTGCAGGGTGAGCTCCAGGCAGCAGCAGCAGCTTGATTACATCCCACTGTGTTTGCAGTCACTGAAATGAGATCAGTGGGCAAGAACTGCCTCCCACAGAGGAGTTTCCTGTCGTGCATCCTAAGACTGCCCACCTGTGGGTGCCTAGGGGTGTTCATAAAAATGCCAGTTTTTCCACTTTAAGCCTACTGGCATAAATTACATGTGTATGTGTGCATGTGTGTGCACACTACATATACAATATGTGTGCAAATACATGTATGCAAATGTGTGCTCACATGAGCGTAGGTGAGTGTTGTACACATACATGTGTTTGTGCATATAAATGCATGCATGTTTAGGGTGGTGCTTAGGGACATGCAGTTTTGGGGCACACAGACATTTAAGAACCACCATTAAATATCGGCTATTTCACTTGGGACCTTATGAATGACACTTGCTGAGTAATTAGGTGTTTTCTAGTAAGTAGACGTGGTGGTTACTCTCTCGACAGTAGATCTTCAAACTCACCTCGCCATGTGCACGACCCCCTGGCCTCTCCCACCCCTGCTGAACAGCTTCACCTTCAGTAGGAATTTTGTAACTCTCTTGCTGAGAAAGACTGATAGACTTTAAAGGCAAGACTCAGTAGAAAGAGCATGGCTAAGATGCCTGTGGCAGATAACCTCAGCTCAGGTGAGAGCAATTGTGGCTGGTGGTGGGGCACAGGTAAAGTGCTCACCCATAGAATTTCCACTTAGTCCTAGTATTTGCTGAGTTATTATTTCTCCTTTGCCCACCTACCATATCCTCATGGCTTTTGAGAAACAGCCTGCCCTCAGTCTCTCTGCAACCTATGGGGGTGGGAGGAGGGCTTCCAGTGAGGGTCCCTTGGGCTGTGCTCACTGTCACCCTAGCAGGTCTGGGTGCCAGGTGCTAGGCTTAGTGCTCCTCCAAAAGGGGAGGCGTTCCCCATGGCCTTTGCCAGTCTGAGCCAAATTCCTGTACTTGCAGAGGGGCAGAGGCTAACCCTTCCTCAAAGGGAAAGGCCTTTTCTTTAGTAATCTCTTTATTTTCTGTTCACCACAAGCTGAGTTTTAAAAATATCCTATTTGGCCACGTTGCTGTTATTTTCTTCTAAGTTTAGAATGGAAGACATCTTCCTGTTCAATCACAAAATCTAGTTTTCCAATTTACTTTTCTAATGTTGTCTGGTTATTAGGGAAACATAACTTGTGACAGGAGCACTGCAAGTCCGACCGCACTCCCCCCAACCTGGGACGCGGGCAGCCGAGCTGGCACGGCCCCTGCCATCCGGTCTGGGTGGCAAACCCCTCCACTCGCGATGTGACATCTGCTGTGGCTTTTAGATTTCTGCTCTTCCAGCTATAAGGAATCTCTTCAGAGACCAATGCCATGTCTTATTTGTGTAGAGGAGATGGACATTGGGTGCAATAAATAAATTTTACATAATTTAAAAAGTAAAGCATTATAGAGATATAATAAGGCAGAGAGGGTGCCTGGGAGTAACCCCAGGATCTATGCACTGCACAATTCAAACATTATGTGCAAAACCATCTCTAAGTAAAAGGAAATAGAATATTTTCAATGCATTTTGACCACAGAAGACAATGTTTAAACAGTTTAATACTCTCTTATAAAAATACCTTGTTAAGTGTGTAGAAAAGAGCCAAGGAGGAGTGGCAGGGTCCGTGGGACAGTCGGACTGAGCCGTCATGCCAGGGAGATGAGGCCTTCCATCCTCCGCGCTTCGTGAAGAATAAAATCTTTGCATGATACTGCTTGCTGTGGACTGATTCTCGGAATGGAGCTCAGTGCCAAGAGGGCGTTTAATAAATATTTTTAGTCAATAAGTGAGGGAGGGAGGTGTGGAGAAGATGGAAGAGCAAACCTCATCATTAAATAGGAGATTCGGGTAAACTCTAAACTCCCGGCACGAAGGAGGGTCCGGGGCCAGAGCCGAGCAGACGCTGGCATCACTGGGGCGGCGGTTCATTCCCCCGAGGTCTTCCACTGGCATCCCTGTTTCAGTCAGTGTAGGAAGCCCGCCTGTGATGCGGTGGACGACCCGCACACACCAGGGCCTTACTTTCCACTCGTGCCTTTGCTGCTTTGATGGGAAGCAAGGGCCACCTGGCCTGAGACCGTCTCCCCCTTCCTCGGGCAAACGGGTCGTGCTCCCCTGTGACCCCATGGCCTCATGGGGGGCGCTAGCCTCACCGTCCACACGCCCTCGGGACATGGGGTGGGCCTGGCAGCCAGGTGGGTGGTGAGCTGTTCCCAGAGCAGCAACCCTACGGGAAGAAGGGCAGACCCAGGCCACTCACCAGGATTTTCCTGCACGACCCCTGGGAGGAGGCTGAGGCCCCTGGGCCCCACAGTCCGTGCCAGCCGAGCAAGCAGCTGGCAGAGAAAAGCAAGAGGCAAAGACAAAAAATGGGGAGAGATATGTGGAGAGAAGGGGGCGGAAGGGCAAACTGGTGTGGAGTTTGCTGACAGACATGCAGGCACACGCCCTGGGCCCACCGGATCCTACACCATGTGCCTCTTCAGGAAATCCTATTTTTCATTACTGTAGTTCTGCTGGATTTCTGTTGTAACTGAAAAACGGGGAATGCCACAGATGTTGGCCCCCACGTGAAAGATCCACAGCGCAGCTGCCTGAAGCGGGAGGAGGGTCTGGGAGCAGAGCCCCCTGTCCAGCGGGTACAGAGCAGCCCCGGGAGAGCGCAACACCCGTGTGCCAGCAGACACCCTCCCAGGCTGGGTGCACATATCTCCAACCATCTAACAGAGGGGAGGGAAGATAACGTACCCCGTTTTACTAATGAAACCCGGACTTCCATAAAGTTATGCAATCAGCTTATGCAATACTGTTGTTTAATTCAAAAAAAGTAATGCATGTCTATGTCATGAATTCAAGATTTATACTAACGTTGAGGGATATTAGTCTCGAGATGAGTAACAGAAAGTGTTTGGGACAGGCACAGGAGGCAAATCCTTCCTGGAACTGACCGTAAGACTACTTACGGGAGAACGCCGATTGTGGTCAGCGGCAGAGCCTCCTGCCGGCGCGCCCAGAGCGTGGTGTGCTTCTGGGACATCACGAAGCCTTTGCTGGGTGAGGACCCACATCTGGCCCCAGCGTTAGATCGTTGCGGTTTGGGCGTCCCTATTTTCAACAACGGTATCTGTTGGCAGGGATAGTGAAACCAGCAGCCTTTTATTGTCAACAAAACCCATCTTAACTTATTTTTGAAAGGCTTTTGTGCAAAATCGTTTTTACCCACAATCACTGGATTTTCAAAGACATGTTGAGGCATGCGAATTTGATTAAGTTATCATTAACTCTCTGAAAAAGCTCTTTTAAGAAAAGTTTAATGACCAGAATCCTTGGAAATCTTTTCTCTTTTTTTTTTTTGGAATCAAATCTTCCCATTTTGTTGAAATGAAATAAAACTTGAAATTAATGCTTTGAATCTGAGTTTACAATTGGCACAATCTAACTAAACGTGAAAAAGACTGAAAATACAATAAACAATATAAATTACATATTTCGAATGTATTCTGTTTCAGAATATTCTCATTAGTTTCAAAATAATGCTTCACCAGTACTGCTTACTGAATGGCATTTACCTAAGTGAGTTACTGTGACCACACAGCCTACAAAATTAAATTTATCAACAAGTTTACACGATTGTAGCACACAGCGTTGTGAAGGCACTCAAGGCCTCTGAACTGTCCCCTTACAAACAGTTAATACAGTAAATCTTATGTCCTGTGTGTTTACCACAATAAAAAACAACAAAAGCAAAATAATAAAGCAAACACTGAAGTGGAAATTGAGGGGAAAAAATGATGCATTGAATCCCATTTGAAAACTTGGTATGTGGCATGGACCAAAGTGATGATCAGAAAGGGCCTCAGGGGGCTCACATGCACCCAGCTTTCAGTGTCTAATGGTGATGAGAAGTTGCTGGAAAACGCAGACAGTGAGCTGGGAGGATAACTGAATGTACCACACGGCCTGAGAGGCTAAGGACATGTCACACAGAGGCACGTCGCAGGACGAGCCATGGGAGGAGGGGGTGTGCAGGTGCAGGGGCGTGTGGACTTGCTGGTAGGACACAGGGGAAACTTGGTCTTCCCCCTGTCGTGCAGGCTGCGGGTGCTGGGCACCTTTGGGGAGAGGATAGAGGGCGTCACGGGCTGACTCACAGCGGACGGGTCCAGCCGGGCTTGCTGACTGTGTGGGAGATGCCAGCCCAGAGCTGGGTCAGGGCTTGTCTCTGCCGTGTTCCTGTTCAGCCCTGCTGTTCCTGTTCCCTCAGTTCCGCGGGTGCAGGGTCACTGGGCTGTGCTGACTGTTCCCAGACTGTGGGACTCGAAGAACGTGGAGCCCCGGCCCTGAGATGACCAGCCCGGGGTGTGTGGGTGGCCATGCGTACGCGTCCACAGGCTCAGCTCGCAGCGCCGGCCGATCCACCTCTGGAGAGGCTCTTGCCTGGCTTCTGGCCTCGGACTGAGCAGAGTGAGTCTGAGAAGGGCCATATTTGGGGAGTTTCTCTAGGGAGCAAAACAAGGGAAGATACATCCTGCGCTAGACTCCCCACTCGTTCCATGAGAGATGCGTCTGCTCTTTTTCTAACCCCTGCTCTCTTGATTATAGTATCTTGATTGTGGACTTGAAGTCAGACAGTACAAGACCTACAGAGTTCTTTTCCTCTTAAGGCTATCTGACTCTTTAGGGGGTTTGTGTTTCCACCTAAATTTTAAAATCAACTTGCCATTTTCTAAATAAAAATATTTTTAAAAATAAATTTGGTTAGGATTTCTTTGAGTCCACAGACCACATAAGCAAAAATAATGCTTAAACATAATTGAGTCTTTTGAGCCATGAACTGCGTCTATTTCTCCATTTGCTCAGGTCTGATTTCTCTCAGCAGGCCTATGTACTTGCTAGTGTGTAGGTCTTATTCAGACTTTAAGTTTATCCCTAAGTATGTCATAGTTTTATGCCACTGTAAATAGTACTTCACTTTCAAATCTCCATTTTTGGTAGTACTATATCAAAATACAGAAACAATCGATCTTTGCATTTCTAGATTGTGCTGTGACCTTGCTAAGCAGACTTATAAGCTCTAGATGTTTTGTTTCATAGATTCTTCAGTATTTCTCTGTGTGTGATCATTTTTTAATGTCGTTTCTACATAAAGACAGTATTAGTTCCCTTTTTTCCAATCTGTATGCCCTTTATTTTTAATTACTTTATTACGTGGGCTGGGATATGGACTTTTGGGTGAAAAGTTTTTGGTATTATTTTTTTAACGTCTAAAGGACTTTGTAGATTTTCTATTTCTTCTTCAACCAGCTTTGGTAATTTGTGGCTTTCAAGGAATGTGTCCATTTCATCAAATTTATCAGATGTATTTGTGTAAAACTGTGCATATAATGCTTTTTAGTCTTTTAATATCTGTAAGATCTTAGAAATGTTCTTTTATTTCTTGTTAGTAAATAGTATCTTCCCATTTTTTTCTTACTCAGCCTGCTTAGAGTTCATAGATTTCACTGATCTTTTCAAAGATACCGTTTTTGGTGTCCTTGATTTTCTCTAGTTTTGTCTATTTTCTATTGATAATATTGATATTGACATGACTCATGCTTGATTCTAATCTATAGTGTTATGGAGAAAGAAGGTATTCTATACAATTTTAAGCATTTTCAGTGGCTTTAGATCTGCTATTTGATCTATAATATGGCCATCATACATGATGAGTGTTTTATGTATAGCAAGAAAGAATATCTATTCTGCTGTATGGGGTGGGAATGTTCAACAAATGTTGTCTTTATGAGATGATAGCTGTTACTTAAACCCATTGTGGATCATTTCACAATATTCATAAATCAAACCATCATTTTGTACACCTTAAACTTATACAGTGATATATTTCCAATTATTTCTCAATAAAACTGGAAAAAAGAAGTCACTAAAAAAAAATTAAGTAACAATAAAATCAAGGTTTTAGCATTTTGAAATGTAAATGCGTTGAGTTTTGCACCTAGCAATTTTCCTAGTGATTTCTGCCAAATCTACAGTGTTTTTTTTCTTTCCTCCAGTTTATGTCTTTGGAATTTAACTCAGTCTCAGCTTATCAGAGCATCACGATTCTATGACTAGTGTCTAACCCCATCATGACCCACTGCGGACTCCCCATGAGGCTGTCGAGAGAGAGGTGCTAGCTCTTTGCCCCTAGACCTGAATCTGGGGGCTCTGGGAGCTGCCTGCAGGTGGACCACACTACAGGGGCCTGGAGAATCCTGAAGTAAAGTGGGTGGACCAGGTCCCCGTGAACACGAGCTCCTGGGTCCAGCTCCACCTGCGGCTATGAGCGAGGCATGAGGTAGTATAGTAACTGCTCTTCCTCCGAGCAGTGCAAGTTAAATTCTGCTGCTGGGTGTAGCTGTGAGTCCCACATGGTCTTGGTATGATCAAAAGCCCTATGGTGCATGTAGGTGTTGATACATGATTTCTGGTGCACCTTCCTTTCCGAAAGATAGCAAATGTGCTTTGCTGACCAGCTGCACAACTTCACTGCTACACAAGCATCTGTTGATAAATGGCTCATGAGTAAGTGAGTCACTGAAATTAGTTCAGTGCAAAGTGATGCTGAGAATGAAACAAATGCTCAGGCCCTGTTATGATTGCTTTAGGGCTGCTCCTAAATTTTCTTTCTAGAAAATTCTGGTTGAATTCAACAGAAACTTCGACTTACAGATTCTGCACCCAGCCATGCACTTTAGATGACAGATTTCTTCTGAAGCACTTAGTATGGGCTCTGGGACTCCCAGCGGCCCATGTGCCTGGCATGTGGTGGTGGGGTACCAGGAGGGATGCCTCCACCTTGCTGTCCTCCTGGAACTCCCCCCACTTGAGCCCTGATGAATGCCTGTTCCTCTGGAGGATCCCAGTGGATACGTGCTGTCTCCACAGAACTCTTCACAGCTCTGCTGTGGGGCAAAGCCAGGGAATGGCAGATGTCAAGGCTCCTCCGTGCCTCCACCCCCATCCCATTCCTCATCCTTTTCCCCACTAATTTCCTGTGCTTGGTATATTCTCCTGCCTTAAGATTCAAAAAAGTCACAGTTTGCAGTGCATTTCTGACCCCAGAATGAATCTTACCTGGCTGAATTCAAGCCCTGTTCTGCTGATTTACAAATCCTACTGAACAAGGAAGCACGCCAGGGGTCTTCTTGTCTGCCGCAGACAGCTGGAGCCCGGCTTGTGGGCCAGCAGCGAAGGCCAGCAGCCTCTGCAGGTGCCCCCTCAGCCCCTGGGAACCAGGCCAACAGCCTCGACCCTGGAGGTGTGAGTGCCATGTATCTGTCTTTCCTTTTAAGTCAAAATGAAAAGTGAAACAGAGAGACCATGATCCTTATCAGGAAGAGCATAAAAGCAGCAACGTGGCAGATTGGAGAAGGAGGGAGAGTGAAAGGATTTGCAAGCCTTTTAAGAGCATTGGCGACCTCATTAAAAAGGGACTGTTTGCATCTTGCTGGAAAAGTCTGTATACAACACAAAGCTTCTTTAGCACAGTCTGTAAGTGGCAATGGAAGGTTTCCATATTTCTAAGTGTGTTTCTCCGTCAAAATGTAAAGGGGAGATATGGGAAGAGCTTGGCCCCTAAGCACTGGTCACATTCATCACTTTTTGCGGCCTATACTGATTATGCCTAGACACCAGGTCTGGCAGGGAAAAATTATATTATAGCCATTGGAATGAGAAGCTACTTCCATTTGAGCCAATGGAATTAAAATCTAATAAAACATCTGTGTACATCTCCACCCCTCTCCCAATAAATTACTTACATATTTGTTATGCTGGAACTCAGCAATATCAAATACCAACATAGAATGTAAAAGACATTTCTATCCTTTGCTCAATGCAACGGGGACAATGGCTTTATTATTTTTGTAAAAATGAACAAAAAACCCAAAAATGCAACACACGTTTTGAGAACCGGTCGACACTCTGTAGACAGAATCCCCACGGATACTGGAATACGAGGTGCCGTTGTTCTGAGCTCCTCCCAGGTCAGCGGCGGTGGAGCAAGAACCCAGAATCCTCCTCTGACCACGAGTGAGATCCGCCGCCCACCCTCTCCACAGCCCTGCGGACCTTTCTGTTCGTGCTTCCTCAAGATTTTGTTGCTTCAGCCCTTAGGAACCATTTTCAGTTTTACAGATAGAATTTATCTTCAGTTTACTCTGTTCTATTTCATTCTTCACAGCTCCCAATCACCAGGCTTCTGAATTTTAGTTGATGATTTGCAAGTCCCTAAGCTAGAGACTCTGCTGCCCTCTGTGTCTTGGGCACCTAAAGGTGGCATGATTGTGGAAGCGAGAATGTTGGCCAAGTTACCGACAGATATTTTCTGGGGTCCCTTCAAACACTGTTTTTTGCCAATGGCAATAACCATCAGCACCAAAGTTTGGATGTTGATTTTAATCACATCAGCAATAAGAAGTAGCCAGTGAGTAGATGGGGTTACTTTATCCAAAATATCCTACAACCAGGTCTTCAAGGAGCATGATGAAAAGCTGCTCTTGTCAGGCATGTTGTAGCAGCCATGACTCCTGTTTTCAATAACACTGGATCCTTAGCTTGAATAAAGAAAAATGTCAGTGTTACAAAATGACATGCCAGGCTTAGCAAGAGGAAACTTTCAGAATCATATCCATTGGCTCTGCAGAAGATAAAAATCAGAAAATGCAGCTTGTTTCAAAACATCCCTCTTTCAACACATACAACTTTCCACTGGATTTTTCCTTCATTCTTACATTTTTGGGTTGACTAAAAGTTAATTCCCACTCAGGACTGAAAGGTTGCTGGAGGTGAGTGAAATTTGGCAAAGACTGGCAGAGCGTAGGGAGGCCCAGGGCTGCTCTGGGACTGCGGCCAGTCGGCCTGGGTGGAGGGCTGGCTCTTCTGCCATTTTGCCCTCACTTCCACCAGACGGCCACCCCTGTCTGACAGTGAGTCCACCGAGGCTGTGCCCCTCTGGACAGTAGGTGAGGTCACTCACGATTTCTGTCTAGAGGTCATTTTCCACGAGTTTGGTGCAAATGCATGAAGCCAACAGGAGGACCACCCAGAGCTGAAGGCAGTGCGGGAATTGAGCAGGTGGAGTTTCCCAGACACAGGACAAGGCGTGGCCAAACAGATGCCGAGGGGGCTGCAGGGCTGGCCCACCCAGGAGCAGGAAGGGCTGTGAGGCGCAGACGCGATGTTAGCAGCCTGTGAGTTCCAGACAGCATGCAATGGACATTTTGCTTTTCCTTTTATTTTCCCTCGAGCAGCTTTCTGAGGTCCATGTGGCCGGCCCCGTTTCCAGCCTCCTGCCGAACGCACACAGGGCCCGAGTCCCTCCCGGATGGCAGGGTGGCCCTGGAACCCCATATGTTGCACACTTTGGAGGCACGGGCAATGGATGGAGCCAGTCTCAGCTCCACATAGTGAGAAACCATGAAGAGCGACGGAGTGCCGCTCAGAGCAGCCTGGATAAGCCTGTCTTCCTCGCATGTCAGGGTGAAGACAGCCGAGTATCTGCAACTCCTCACATCCAGCTTGTTCCCGGACAATCCTGGAATCCCGCTTGGGAAGGCGGCTGCCAGAGCAGCTCTGGGACGAGGGCCAGCAGTGCTGGCTGGGGACATCCCTGCTGCCCCTTCCTAGCTGTGCCTCCCTTGGGTGGCACCTTCCTCCTCCTCAGTCTACTTTCCTGTGATGTGGTCTCCTACTTGAAGCCTTCAGCGCATCTGTTTCTGAATCAGATTCATCATCTGCACCGACTATGGCTTGTGAACAGGTTGGGTCTTCTTGGGACATTTTGATGTAGAACAATAGCCATTTGTGTGTAAATCTGTTTGCTCCTTCCCATTCCTGCTTCCTACAACGGCTCTGCCCGGCCTGAGTCCTTCCCTTCCATGTGCTCATACATGCGGGCTACCTCCCTTGTTTGTTTTGTTTTAAGCTTCTGGGACTTCTTATGTAACCATTCATTTTTCTGTGCCTACTCATGCTTATGGACGGACACTACTCCCCTTCGGGGCCAGAAGCCCGTGGAGACCCCATCAGAGGTCGCACAGCCTCGTGCTCTCCACGTGCTACATAAAGCACCTAAAATGTTACCCGTGGATCTGAATGTCCTTCCAGTCAGCAGGCTTCTTGTAGAATTCCACCCGTTACCTTGATGGTGTTGCAGACCTTTTGGGTGGCCCCACGTTCCTGGCACAGGGACCTTTCCTCAGGAGCAGTACCAGAGGGCCCCTGACCCTCCACCAAGGCACGACCCAGTGCGAACCACAGTGCGTTCGTGGGGGACGACTTGGCACACTGTCCAACTGGAAACCAGCGGCAGTGAAAGGAAGTGTGCAAGTGACTCGACTTTGTAGGTTCAGTGAAGGACCGAAAGTGCACTTACGTTTTCTCCCCTAAAAAAAAAATCTCCAAATTTTCTATGAGAAGTAAAGAAGGCGTTTTCTAGAATTGTCGCTCTGTCGACTTTTTCTATATCCTGAATGTTTCGCTCACCCCTGTGTTAAAACGCGGTGTCCCTTGAGGTTCTCCACCTCAGCCTCCACTTGCTTAGAATGACACATCGCTGTTCTGCTCATTAACTCCTAAAGCATCTAAAAATGCCAGACTTACTCTTGGAAGAAGCATGGTTCAAATGCTGCACTTTGAGATCTCACTGGCTGTCAGATGTTGCAGACCTGCAGCTGCCACAGTAAAATTAAATGAGGATTTCTTGACCTACTTAGAACTTATGCAAAGAGAGGAAAATTTTTTCTAGGAAAGCAGTCAAAAAAACAAAAAAGCGAAAACCTGACTGCAAAGACCATAATTAAACCTGCAAATGGCACCAACGTGGATTCCGCGCAGAGTTTCGCCTCAGGTCTCCCTGGCTCACACGTCTCTGGCGCAGCAACCGAGTCCATGCTGGAGCTGGCAGGTGCCTGGATGCCTTTCCCAGGCCCGCAGGAGGGAGCAGCTCTGTGGCCCAAGGGGATTGCTCCCCCGGTGAGGTCGTTTCTGCGTCTGCTCTCGGCAAATGGCCTCACGCCCCACTTGCCCCTGCCTGACCGCCTTCCGGTTTCCTGTCTTACCTCCCTTCCCGGAGTGCAGAGACCTGGGGTGCAGAGCCCCGTCCTGGTCTAGGCGCCCTCTTACTCCCCCTCGCCTCAGCCCCACCTCTTTCCCCATAGCTGACCTGTGCCCATGAAATGCTGACCAGACCTCTGAGCTTCACCATCTGGGGGACTGGAACTGCCGCCCCCACACTGAAGTTTCAGTGACCTGGACACCCCAGTGCTGCACACACACTGACCAGGCCAGGCCGGTCTTACCTCCCTCCCACCACTCCCTGCACCGTGTCACGGGAAAGGCCCTGCCGCAGACGCAGGGGTGTCCAGACTGCTCAGCACCTGATGGATGCCCCTCACCAGGGGACGAGGCGCTGCCCCCTGTAGCTCAGGCTCCCACCGGCTGCCAAGGGTGCTTCTCCACTGCAGGGGAGCCGTCATCCAGCCAGAAGATTGGTGCGTGGTAGGTTAGGAGCATTAAATGCATTTTGACTTGCGGTGTTTTTGGCTTACATGGGTAGAATGGGATGTAACCCCACTGTACGCAGAGGAAGGTCTGTATGGTGTGTTAAGATGGAAACAGTAACCCACCCGCATGTTTCTAGGGCAACTGCTTATTCTGGACTCGAGGACCCAGAGAGATTGCCCCCCACACTTGGACTTTGGGCCTCCCATAGGTATCTTTCCAGAGAAGAGGCAGCCTCCCCGACAGGGTGAGGATTTAATGAGCCCTTGGAGGAAAGCCCCCCAGCACAGAAAGAAAGGGGATCTGAGGACCTGGGATCTCCTGCCTTCTGGAGGGGGAGAGACCTGCTAGGCCCAGGGGGGCAGCCCAGGCACCACGGGGAGGGAGGGCCTGGAATGGCACGTGGTTCTCAGCAGAAAAGCAGAGCCGGGTTGCCCTCCCCGGCCAGGCCGGCGTCCAGGAGGGCAGGGACGAGGTCCAGAGCGGGCCTTCCACAAGGAATGCGTGTGCAGAAAGAGCTGACCTTGCGCACCAAAGGAATCCAGAGAGCATCTTACCCTGCTGGGGAAAGCATCTCGTTCCTCCAGCTTCGCTTCCTCCTGCAGGGTCGCCTAGGGCCGCAGATGGAGTCCGAAAGGACCCTTCCACCCCATAGGAGGATGTCTCAGATCTTACGTCCATGCCAACTGAACTGCTGGGAGCACCAGGCGGACGTTTATAAGTACCACAGGCATGTCTGGATTTTTGAGCTTCAGCAAAGATTTTTTTTCTTCTGTGAATAATATGAAACAGACTTAATAAACATATAACAAAGAAACAGTCTCTTGATTCATTTGTGTAGTGAATCATTTTGCCTTTCCCAGAACTGGCACTAATTTTTAAGCATCATCAATTTTTAAGCTTTTGATGATTAATTAATTCAATAGAAATCAAGTTGAATGTGTTTATTCACAACTGGGAGAAATTTTGCTTGTGTCACTTTTATTAAGATGGGGGATCAGAGTAGTTTGACTTTTAGTAGCAATTCAACAAAATTATAAATAAAATACATTTAGAAAAACCTAAAACAGTGTCAGATGTAGGTCTCACATAGCATCCTATGTAGAAACGTAATGCAAAACACAAAAACACAACTCCCAGGTCTATGCTAGCTTTCTTCTGATGAACTGCAAATAAGAAACAAAAAATGGAAATAAATATTACTACTGGCTACTGCATCTTGCTGATGAAACCTGGCTGCGGCACCCATGGACAGAGCGGTGTACACACACACAGATAAGCACAGCCATGCCTTCAGTCTGGAGAGCTCAGGCAAGTTTAATGTAACCCCCTCACCCCTTTTTCTATGCTACAAGCAATGTTTAAGATTTTTTTTTCAAATTATAAAATGAAACCTCCCAGAATAAGGAAACAAATATTTTACATATCTGTACAGGGCACACAGTTCATATCTTTTCATTGGTTTACAGGTATCCTTCACGTCCAAAGTTAGATTGTTCTTCTTCTAAGATTAAGATTATTGCTAAAGATAATAGGTCAGCTAGCCTTGGATCTAAGAATGTGGACCTAAGAATGCAGTATTTCCAGATAATTGGTCCTGCTTCATGAAATGGTGTCAGTAAGAATGGAAAATGGGGACGTATATATTCAGAATAAATGTTATTTTATGAAGAAATCTATCCACTTGAAAAGTAGCAGAAAAGATGTGCCAAAATGCAAAGTCACACTTGACTCTCATTTTTTAAGTAATGCAGATACTGAATCTATCCTTTTTGATACAAACATGGAGAGAAAAAGGTATCTAGAAAAGTAAAAGCTTTGTATATTGACAAATGGTGACTACACGCACTGTGGGGATCATCAGTAATGCATACAGTTGTGGAATCACCATGTTATACACAGGAAACTAATGAAATACTGTATGTCAACTATACATCAATAAAATTTTTTTAAGTATCTGGGAAAAAATATGCCAACATTTGGTTGGTTTTACTGTGGGTGTTTTTAAAAACATTTATTTATTTAGATTTGCATTTTCTAAATTTCCTGTAAGGGATTTCTATTCCTTACTTTTTTAAGATAACATATTTTTAGAGTGTATAGGATTAAAAATCCTACATAGAGGGAAAAAAATGACATAAACACTCACACTGATAAATAACATTAGTACAGTTAGTTCAGAGTTTGGGAGTGGAAAAGAATTACTAATTTTAAAAAGTCATTCCTTAGTGATTTGTAAACTATTAATTCTTTGAAATACCAGTTTATTTGTAGCTCATACTATTTACAAAATACCTCACCCTGTGCAGATGCTCACATTTACCAAGAATACAGCAAAATGAATTAATGGACCCAAGACTTGCAGGCTGTCCTACCTGCAGAGGTTCTGCACTGGGCGTTTTAGGTACGTGATCCTATTTGTTGCTACAGTTACAACACAATGAAACGGATGCTACTGTTTGCATTTCGCAAGTGAGGAAGTTGAGTCATGGGGGTTTCGTCCCTGAAGGCTTAGTCAGGTCACTAGCGTCCGGCTGCGCGCTGCACACACGCATCCTCCCCAGCCAGCACAGATGAGACAGTTCACAGTCCCGCCCACTGATGCGGACCTGAGTCGTCACAGGTGTCCCCCAAGCAGCTTTGTCCCCTCCCTGCCACTCGCCTCTCTCCCAGCTGCTGGCAATAGCCTCGTTTGACTCCACAGCAGATCGTGTACATCCTCAGCACTGTCAGGAAACACCCATAGGCCGGGGAGTGGGTGCTTCTCGGAAACCTCATGTCTCCAATTTCTCATGTGTTTCTATTGTTCTCATGTATTTCTCAACCTAGTAAAAGCAAACACGAATTGTGGGAGAGAGTAAGGGGCAGGAGAAACAGAGCAGGAAGCAGTGGGGCCAAAGCAAGAAGGACAAAGGGCGGCAAAGCCATGTGATGAGCGTCTGTACCTGCCTGGTGCTGCCGGCAGGCCTGTGGCCAGGGGCCATGTCCTCAGACTGCTAGTGCATGGCTGAGACTGGGCACGTGGGGAGTGGCGTGCACAGCGCCCCCTGGTGCCCCCACGCTCAGGTGAGACGGTGCTCCAGCCAGAGACGCGGCCCGGGGCCAAGAGACGGCTGTCACCGCACGCAGGCTCTCCCTGGAGGTGGGGTGCCGCCCTGCCCCCTCGTGTAAGCAGCCCCCCGGCAGGGACTCCAGGCACATTGGACGGATGGCACCCATCCTAATGACCTCTTCTCACCATGAGCACAGTCCCAAAGCTTTCATTGCACAAAGGTCATGTTCACACTCACAGGTCAGGATGGCAGTGCGCCTCTTGGGGAGCAGCAGTCGGTGGGGGTTTGGGGGACGAAGTGCAGGGAGCAGGGGCAGGTCGGCTGTGATGGCCGGTACAAGCGGACAGCCAGAGAGCAGGCAGTCCCCTGAGCAGTCGGCCTCGGGGAGAGAGGACGGCAGGCTTCCAGGAGACGGCACACAGCACCCGGGCCTCTGGATTCCTGCCTAGCCTGCCCCTCCAGGGATTGAACTGATCATTTCCCTCCTCACTTCTGTCCATGTTTAGGCCAGATTGTGCATTTGTAAAAGGAGATATGAGGAAGCACAGGATGCCCCCAACATTATTCCCTGAGTAATAAGCTTCTCCTGGAAGTCTGGAGCCCTAAAGCCGACTGAAGGCTTTACTTGGTAGGACTTGGATATTTCCATGTTCAAATTGCCTTTTGCAAAGCAAATGGATTATGACCATAAAGCATCAGCTTTACCTTACTAAGGGTGCAACCTTTTCCCAAGGCCAAAATATGGATTTGCTTTTCTTATATACACACACAGCTTATATTTAAGACAGGACACTGGACTCTATTTCACCTCAAACTCAGGAATAGTCCAGTGCTGACTGAACCCTTCCCAGGGCTGCACCAGGTGAAGCTGTACGGCTTCTCCCATCCACCGGCGATGAAGGGAGGGAGTCCCCCCAGGTCAGGATGAATGTAATAGGAGACTCCACTAACTCATCAAATCGAATATTTATAAAATAGATCCCCTCCTATGCAGTAGGAAAGAATTCAATTTGCCATATTCTACCCATGAGACCAGAAAAAATTTTTTACAATACTTCTGAAATGTATCCTTTGGAAAATTATATTTTACCGAATCTTTGTTCAGCCTCCTTGAACATCTTGATGAACCTTAAAGAGTGAGTCTCGATTGCTTCTGGGGGTGGTCATGTGGAAGCAGAGATGGCTCGCTAAAATTGGGCCAGAACTTTCTAATTGACTTAAGATGGATGTTTTAACTTAAAAACAAGAAAGTTATGTTAGCTCCAAAAAACTGCAGACCTCTCAGGAAAGCAGGGGCTCCTGGATTTAGACAGAGGCCCTGAATTATGCAGAGGACTGAGACAAAAAGCCCAGGGCAGGGGATTTGGTGTTTTTTGTGAACTTAGGCAGGTTTCTTACAGGTCATGAACTCAGGAGGCCCCGCCACCATCTGCTGCTGCCAGCACCCGGGGCGTCACAAAACCATATCGGGAGGTGTCTGTGCTCCAGCCTGTTCTTCTGGGGCTGGTGATGGGTCAGTACTCACTTAACTGTGCGTGCCCTCCTTCTGAGATCATGGGGACTCTGGGGGGCCATGGTGCATTGTCGCTAGGCCCTGGACCGCAGGGAGAGGCTCATTGGGGCAAGACCAGGGGCCGTGTCCCCGACCTGGCCGTGCACAGACAGGCTTGTCTGTCCAGAGAACTTGACCCCCAAAATGTTTCTTCCCCTAAGTTCTTACTTAAGCTTTTTAAGGAAGTCATGGATTAGTAATGCCATCCCCATGACAAACAGTTTTGTGGATTAAAAAAACAACATTTTTGCCTTCACCCTGTTAGATTGAAGGGGAAACCAGTGATTTTGAAGTGCCACCCCTAGCTTGGACATTACTGTCCCCCAACCCTTATTTGAAGCTTTCGCTCTCCACAGTCTCAGGTACCCGAGGTTCCCTGCGCCTGGAAGCAGGCGGTCCCTCTCCTGACGTACCATCAGGTCACTAGCAGCCCGTCTCTACGTCCCCGCGTCACAGGGCCCACATCAGCCACCTCAGTCCCTCTCACCAAGCAGGCGTTTCAGCGTCTCGCATCACAGGGAGAAGGGTGAGGGTCACTCAGTGAGATGTTTACAGGAAGAGGCCCATTCACAGACTTCTAATACATACACTGTTATCCTTGAGTGTGAACTGCCATGTCTGCATCAGGGCCTTGACCCTTGCCTCAGGCTCTCTGTGCACATAATTTAAGCTAAAACAAATAAACTCTCAGCTTTTCTGCAGAAAAGCATGCAACGTGGGACACTTCTCCAGAAATACACAGATGATTAGATGCCTATGTTAATTATGACAACTTAGACTTTTAAATTTAACTTTCTTTAGGGCTGTACAATATATCTTACACTAGTTTGTATAAGAAATAATATTTTTTGAGATAATAGAAGGGCTCATAAATAGTATTTTATAATAAAACTAGAATAAAATATTTTATTTTTCTAATCTGAATTTTATTAGACTTGACATTTTTGTGTGTGGAGCAAATATTTGGAATGTATAAGTTGAATGCCAAGTTACCATTTCCTGCACTGAATTAAGTGAATTACTGATTTTAACCCATCTGCTCTCTGTGGCTCATACTAAGGTATGTTTATCTAGCTGCTTTTCATAAGTGTATGATCTTAAAGTATCACCATAAATACATCTAGTAACCAAAGCTAAAACCCACATCCCTTCTCTTACACAGCCCGGTCTGTGAATCCCCTTCCAGACATGATCAAAGCCTTAATGAGTGGCCTTTGCCTGAAGGAGCCCATTACTCTGGTGGGCCTGCCTTCGTGGGGTGAGCCTGGGAGTGGGCTTGGCGGGGCAGAGGTTTGCATCAGCTCCCCCTCCAGCTCCTGGACAGATGATGGCAGGCAGCTGGGAGCAAGCAAGGGTCAGAGATAGATGCTCCCAAAGGGCCCAATGGGACTTCAGAGAGGACAGAGGGGAAGGGGCGGGTGGCAGCGGCCAGGTGGGTCCCAACCCTCTGCTGCCCTCACTGCTTTGTGGTGTTGGGAGAAACAGAACGATGGTGCCAAGGGGTAAGAGCATGTGCAGCAGAGGCCAGGAGGGCATGGACAAGGCCACCAGGCAGGCCGCAGGGCATCGCCAGTGCGTGGGGAGGCATTTCCACCTGTGGCCACCACTGGAAGACCGGCAAGTATGTAGGTGGTGCTGTGGGGACCCGTGGCCCTAAGGGAGTGGTGGGGAGGGAGGGCATGCATTTTCTACGCAGCCAGGCCAGAAAGAGAATTGGTTAAGGCCAGGAGAGTTTTCTCTTTTGAAGAAGAGGAATCCCTTATGTGTGGCTCTGATGTGGGGTCTCCTCTCTGCCACCTGCTTTTGCACTAATTATAGTTACATGTAAATCTTGTCGGGAGGACCTTTCAAATTTAATCTGTAAGGTGGGGAAGAAGGATTGAGGAAAAGGGCTGTTGTTCCATAACTGGGTCAATATCAGAGCAAAGGTAGGCAATAAAACATCCTGAGATCCAGAAACCCTCAGTGATCGGAGCCCGGTTCCCTTCCTGTACCAGCGACAGACCCAGTGGGAGCCCAGACCCAGGGGGGGGAGCCCAGACCTGGGGGAAAGCCCACACCCCAGGGGAAGCCCAGACCCAGGTAGAGGGAACCCAGACCCGGCTGCAGGGGCCATGGAGGGTCTGCCTCCTTTCCACCAGCCACAGCAGCATGTGAGCTACAATGGTTTTTAAAAAGTGTATTTTGGGTGGTTTTCCCCATACTATCAAAGATGAGAAATTTAAACATTAGGAAATCAACACAGTAGTCAGAGTTTCAGTATCTCACCTTATGAGCATAAAAATTCAGCAAATGCAACTACCTGGGCACAGCTCATCCTGAGTAAGGCCGGCGCGCCCCTGTTTCCCCCTGCCCAGCGCCGAGGGTGGTGGATGCCATGGGCACAGCTCTGCAGCCGAGGATGCTCCCCCAGAAAGGCAGGGCTGTGCCTGGCCACCCCACACCTTAGAGCTCCTGAGGTCAACAACTGCAGTGTTCCACTGAAACATCAGCTAAAATTTGGGACACAATCGTTTCTTTGAAATTTTATCTAGAAGGTTTTGTACCTGTGACAAATTTTAAACATTAGAAACATAAATGGCTGCACAACAAAATATCCAGTTGCCCATCACCAGAGTCACAGAGTCTGAGAGAATATCTTGCTAGTTTCTGGTTAAAGCGTTCTGTGACGATTTCCAAGTCTTTGTGTAAACAGAATATGCCATTTAGCACACTGCTAACAATTTAGATTATACAAGCAGGATTTTTTTAATACAAAGCCTAGATATACACCTTTAAGTTTATTTCTCCTTCTAATGATAAAATAAATATATTTGTTGTACAAATGATTCACTGCAAATTCTGCAGGAACCCATAATCGCGCTCCCAGTGGTAACTTCTAAC